TACTTTTACAGAAGAAACAAAAAATAAATTGTATGAATCTTTGTTACAGGAAAATGAACGAAGCTGATTTATTAATATGTTTTGAAAGTAAGTATATAATTATAATAAAATAGCTAGTCTATTTATTTTCTAAGTTTACTGATTAATCTAATATTTATTTATTATTTATTAAGACTTGTGTATCTTAATCTACTACGATTAATTCATTTTAAAAGGATTGTAATGGTATAATATTCTCTAAGATTTTAGTTTACAAAATAAGTTGTTCAGTTCGTTGGTTTTTATAGATAACTAAAATTTATACTTCTTTAGCATTTATATTTAGATTTTTTTAAGAAATGTTTAATAATTTTGTTTTTACAAGTATTTAGTAAAAATAATTATATTTATTTATTACAAATGTAATTTCTAATTATGCGGTGTGTATAACATCTCATAATAACTTGAAGTTTTAGAATTTACTTGTCTTGATTTTATGATACTGTAATTATTAAAGCATTTTTGCTAATATCATTTGAACTTCAAATTTAAGAGATATATATATATCACATAAATTTTGGTTTTTTTTAGCATATTTATTATATATAATTATGTAATTTGCTATTCTCTAATATTAAATTAGACTAATATAAATTATATTTTGTGGTTTGAACAGAATCTGCAAAAATAATTATGTTCAAGTTTTATCGAATTGTAATTATAGCTGTTGAAAGAAAACCAGACTTTGGTATTCAATTTATTATTTGTAAAACTCTATCTTTGAAAATTGTTATTTCGATAACACTATTTTATTAATATATATTGAAACTAATCATATACATGCCTTTTTAATTGTAGATATATGAATATACATATATTATTAAACAGATTTTTCAAAGGCAGAGTTTAGTAAATAAAGAACTTGAAAGCCTAAAAGTTGGTTTTTTCTTGTAGAACTAACATAATTTAGAATTTTAGTTTGAGATTTATATTGGTTTAAGTTTTAGAAAACATTCTAGATTAGAGTTTTGGCAATTATAATAAAGATTTTGATACTTGGTATTAGTTGGGGATTTTGGCATCAGTTTAGGTTTTGGGAAAATCATCCTAGTTTAGGTTTTTGTTATTGGTTTGGGATTTTAGTATTAGTTTTGGATTTTGGCACTAGTTTAGGATTTCGGTTTTGGTTTAGGTTTTGGAAAAATCATCTAAGTTTAGAATTTTGACATTGGTTTGGGATTGCAGCATTAGTTTGGGATTTTGGTATTAGTTTAGGTTTTGCAAAAATTATTCATGTTTAGGGTTTTTGCATTAGTTCAGGTTTTTGACACTAGTTTGGGTTTTTGACACTAGTTTGGGTTTTTGAAATTTGTTTAGGGTTTTGATTCTTATAGTTAAAACCCGAAACCTTTAGGCTTTAAAAAATTAGTTTCGGTTCCCACCTCTAATATATAGTATATATATTATATACAGATATTAATTTGTATAATAACTTTAATCAATTTTAAACTTTTTAGTTATTATAGATTGATTATTAAATGGTATTAATTACTATTTTTATTATCGATAGTTTGCAAAAATTAAACATTTTTTGTTCTATTTAATTTATTATAAACAAAATGAATCAAATAGCGATAGTACAAAACTTAATTCTGATACATTAATTATATATGTGACGGAAAGAGCAAACTTGTAAATTTGTGAAAAATCATTTTTTTACGAAAAAAATTCCATAACCCTACGGCTTTTAAAGAGATAATCAATGTGTTTTTAGAACTAATTACATAAAATCAGATTCATCGAGACTGAATCTGAAGGGAATTAGCAAATCAATTTACATGTTTTTTAAATATATTTTATATATAATATATTTCATGATCCAATTGGTATCTTTATTTGGAACAACATCAAAGACATCATATTTTTGAAAAATATTCAATAGAGTAAATGATTACTTATAGATCAGTTTCCCGAGTTTTTTAGTAGTAGTAATATTGTCGTGCTTGAAGTTGAAACTACTAACGCGTGCAAGGAAGATCTAATTTTGGGGTTAATTTTAGTTAATGTACCTAAATTTGTAACTTCAAGCATAACAATATCTTTGAAAATTATAATGTTCGAAAACGGTAAGGTAAAATAGTCAAAGCAGAAAATTTTCGCAATCATATTATTAACGTTGAACTAAATATCTAGTATCTAGAAGATTATATGAGTGATGGAAAGAGAAAGTCTGTAGATTGATTGACTATCGTTCACCTTATCGGATTCGCAATGATCAAAATTAATCGTTCTGGTAGCTTCGATAAGATCATCTCTTTTACGGATTAATTATATGATCAGGCGATCCTTAAAAAAAAAAGATAAATTTATCGATAAGATAAAAGTTAGTAAATCACTTTAGATTTCTCGTTACTCATATTAGATCTTGTAAACTTACTGGCTGAATTTATATGATCGAGAAATTTTTCTATCTAATATCAACATCTCAGATTAATAGATCTTACTTCCAAACCAATAATTAAGTTTGATGCACGTATCCTTTTTCAACCTTCAGTAAGATTAGAAATTTAACAAAGGCATAAACTTTAAACCATCAAAATAACAGCATGAACTCAGATGCAACACATAAGTTTCTATAAAGCGCCGCAAGTAGAGCGGACACGATATCCTTATTTTTTGGCTAGGTAATACTTGTCAAAACACCCTAGTCAGATAATGTCGGGTACTTTGTAATATAATGTATATACATGTTTTACAAACCTTTGGCGGGTTTTTGTTTTCTCTATATATGGAAAAGTTCATGTGCAAATCGATAAAATTTTATTAACTTAATAGATTTAGCAGACTTAGGGTGTTCTAAAGCAGCTCCCTCAATGTGATTAGCTAGTGATCGAGATGTTGCTCAAAGCATTACGATTAATTGAGTGGTTATTACGGTTAATCGAAAAACGAATTATTAAAAATTCATTGTTCGAAATGCGGATTTTAAATTTTAGCCAGTCAGAGCAGCTCTATGAAAAAAATTGGTGGTTGTAGCTCCAGGTTTTTTTGACCTAAATGATAATCACGATCCATTTTTTCGGCCAATCAGATCGTTTTGTAAAAACATTGAGGGAGACGCTTGAGAACGTCCTTAGATTAAAAGACATTCGTATACAGTATTAGAATGCGAAGCAGCCAATAACGGAAATTATGAATCCCGAAGGGCCCTAAAATGACGCATATTAGATTTGCTGCCAGATAACGTACACTAGGGACCTGCCGCAATTTTCAGGGGTTTTTAAAAATTTTAAATCTTGGCCCGGCCCGTGCAGGCCTCTAACGTACACTTATTATTCATTTTTAACATTTTTCTATTTAAAAAAAAATTAATATTTATTTATTTTTAGTATTTTATATTAAAAAAACAAAAATATTATTATTTTTTATTATTTTTTTAACGTTTTTTACATTACATAAAATAATCAATATAAGAAACTAATTTATATTACTAAAAATATAAAAATAAATGAAATAAATAGCAAATTTTATTTTGATTCGGGCCAAAATAACCTCATAGAATTTAGAATTAATGCAAAATGGAATTATGTTAATGCTAGCCGGATGTTTAGTATAAAAAACCTCAGCTAGCATCAACATAATTCCGATTCACACTAACCTTGAAATTTACCAAATTGTTATTTTGACCCAGATTAAAATAGAATTTCCTGAAATAAATTTAATAAAACAAGAATTTTAAGATACTTAGTTTCGAAGATTATATCTTTTACTTATCCCAACCACCGCGTAAAGGTGTTTTTCATTGGTTGAAAAGGCGAACCTAACCCAGTCTCTCACTTTACTAGTACTTGTCATGGCTCGGTTCTTAACTTCGAGTAGGTTATTTCCCTTAAATCATTAATACTTTCGTATATTATCAAAGTGGCTTTTTCTCAATTTATTCACTAGAGTTTGAGTAGATCTAAACACCGTATTTTTACATTTACACAAAATTCTCTTTAATAAAACTCGAAAAACAAAACGATATATCCAGTAAAACAGTACTGTATATCCAATAATACCAGTAATATTTAATAAACAGTGCAAGTGTATTCGATAAAACCTATATCAAGTAAAACAATATAAAATATAAAAAAAAAACCAAGAAAATAAAAAACGATGAAAATAATAACGTAGCGAAAAAAAAATTCTTACGTATATAACATTGCAATTTTATCACAAGACAAAACAAAACCATATTTCGAAGTGTGATTCATTATCAATTTCCTTAATTAGAAATTAAACAGTCGAAGATGTCATTATTCAGTAATTTGCATAAGGTCGTAACCAGTGTTTCCCTACGGATTAATAATATCTTTTTAAGAAACTGGTTTGAGACTGAATTTGGATTCTGATCACATGAATCCGTACGAAATTCTGCAGTTACGTACTATACTCCTTTTTCCTGCAATAATATATCCTTCCGGGGTATAGTGCATACATATCGATATGGAATCAGTTTACTTTTTTTTATGTGTATCGCAAAATGGAAACAAGGAAATTATTTCGATTTCTTTTTGAATAATATCATATCGACATGGATTTGATTTACTGGTCCTTATGGGAGGACGCGTGTGAGTTATACAAAGCGAAACTAAGAAAGCCTTGGCATGATTTAAAGTTATAATTTGAATGTTCTTACTATATATTGATTTTTATACTGATTTCCTATTTTGATTTGTACACTCACACGAGCAAGTATTTTGTATGCAATGCCCGTGTCCAAGTTATATAGTAGTTTCAAACAACGTCGTGTACAACATTGCTTTATTGGGTAATAGCCAATAATGACGCATATATTCTCTTAACATCGATTTATTTTTGGTTCTTTTGCGTACAGGACAATCATCTGATTGTTAATTTTTTATGTATGTTACACTTTATAAGATTGATAATCCAAATCAGTAAAGATGAATAATAAATAAAAATAGGCAATTTAATTTTGGCGCCGTAGTATTATCTAAAATTTTAATCATTACTGAATGAAGAGGACATTTCAATATCAAGACAATCTTCCAAAGTTACCCATACCTCCTTTGGAAGATACTTTACGAAGATTCTTGTCTGCCGTCAAGCCTCTTCAGGTACTATTTGACACGTGTCATATTTTGTTTACGTATGTCTTGGAATTCCAAGATTTACGCGTCGTCTTGTGCCGAATGTTTTATCATATTAGAAGTTATATTCGTAAAGTCCATAAGAATTAACAGACAAGGATGAAAGATTAATCTTTGCTTAAAGTATTGAGAAAAAAAAAATAAACCCAAAAAATAAAATCGAATATATTATTAACAACTTTATTTTTCTTTTTTAACCTAGAGAGAAAAGGATCATTTGCAAACTATCACTGCTGTGGAACAATTCCTTCAAAATGAAGGTCCAAAGCTTCAAGAAAAACTTCAAAGTTATGCTACTGATAAGTCTAGCTATATAGAAGAATTTTGGTATGACTCTTACCTCAACTATAGCGATCCTGTGGTCCTTAACTTGAATCCATTCTTTGTTTTGGCGGATGATCTTAATTCTGCAAAAAACAACCAAGTTTCTCGTGCCGCTTCATTGATACACTCATCTCTGAATTTCATCCATGCATTAAGAACTGAAAAATTGGAACCTGATATGTTTAGAGGAAAGCCTCTTGACATGTCACAGTTTCAACGTATGTTTGGAACTGCTCGTTTACCAACAGAAAATGGTTGTATAATGAATACTGACAACGAATCTAGGCATATTGTTGTTTTATGTCGTGGTCAATTTTATTGGTTTGATGTTTTAAATGAGAATAATGAAGTTGGAATTACTGAAAAAGAAATAATTGCTAATCTAAAAACAATAAAACAAGATGCTCATGAAATACCGACTGTCGAAGTAGCGAAACAAGCTGTAGGAATTCTTTCTACTGAAAATCGTAAAATTTGGGCTGATCTTAGAATTATGTTAGAAAAATCTTCAGAAAATAAAGATTTTTTAAAAGTTCTTGATTCGGCATTATTCGTTGTCTGTTTGGATGAAGTATCTCCTAAAACTGGTGATGAGCTAGCAACCAACATGCTTTGCGGAACATATGATATACAAGAAGGTGTACAAGTTGGTACCTGTGCTAATCGGTGGTACGATAAATTACAAATAATTGTATGTGAAAATGGTTCAGCTGGCGTAAATTTTGAACATACAGGTGAGTTTTACCAAATTTTACAATATTTACAATATTTGATTATTATATATGTATTATATATGTATTAACTTTATTTTCGGTTAAATAAAAGGTGTTGATGGCCATACTGTTTTACGTTTCGTTTCTGATATTTATACCGATACATTATTTCGCTTTGCATCAACTATTAGTCCTCATAATTCAATATTTCCTGGAAGTTTGCAAGGCAAACCCAAGCATTCAAATGGTATCAGTCATATTGATTCCATGCCAAAAAAACTTGAATGGATATTAACTCCTGAAGTTCGCGCTGGAATTAGATTTGCTGAAACAAGATTAAGTGATCTTATTCTGCAAAATGAAGTTCAAGTTCTTGAGTTTGATAATTATGGAAAAAGTTTTATTACAAGTTGTAATATGAGTCCAGATGCATTTGTACAAGTATGTAAACGAAATTTAATTTGTTAATTTATTTGTTGCATATAATATAAAGTATCTTTTTATTATTATTATTATTTATTATTTATTTGATTTTTATTTATTTGATTTTATTTACATCTTTTATCTTTTATTTTTTAGATCGCTTTTCAAGCCGCTTATTACGGCTTATATGGGTCAGCTGAATGTACATATGAACCCGCTATGACTAAGTCATTCCTCCATGGTCGTACAGAAGCGATTCGTTCCGTGACAACTGAATGTGTTGATTTTGTTAAATTTTGGTGGACTGATTCACCATATACCGAAAAACTTAAACTTCTCCGAAAAGCACTTAATGCCCATGTGAATTTGACAAAGATGTGTGCACAGGGTTTGGGTCAAGATAGACATTTATATGCACTGCAATGTGTTTGGCAAAGAGAAGCTGGTAGAAGCTCTGATTGTGAAGAAAAAATGCCTGCAATATTTAACGATTCTGGTTGGCAAACATTGAATCACACCGTTCTTAGTACAAGTAATTGTGGGAATCCTGCATTAAGATTTTTCGGTTTTGGTCCCGTAGTTTCTGATGGATTCGGTGTTGGTTATATTATCAAGGATGATGGAATTGCTGTAAGTTTTATTATTCATCATATTTACCTTAATAATTTAACTTTATAATTAATTATATATTTGAATCTTAATTAAATTATTGTAATTTGTTATTTTCAGTTTTGTGCTTCTTCTAAACATAGACAAACGCGTCGTTTCCTTCAAACTTTGGAAAATTATCTTAATGATATACATTTACTACTCCGATCTGAAAGACGTATACCTGGAATTGTTAATACTAAACATGAAAGACGCACTAGTTTGCTTTCAGGGTATGGTTACTTTGATGCTGGTGGTATTGATCAACTACTTGAACTTCGATTAGAAGAAAGGAGAGGAGGTATGAAACCAGTTGGAAAGGCATTAAAATTAGTAGATTATTAAAGGTGATTTTGTATTTTTCAATTTATTTATTGGCTCGCTAATTTTCTTTCGGGGTGATGTTGCCCAGCCAATATAAAATATATATATATATATTTAAATCATTTGGTTTTGAGCTTTAATCAATAGATGCGGACTCAATACTGTAACTTTAGTTATTATAATATAAAAAAAAAACTGGCTTTTTAAAACGTAACTATAAATATGTCTGCACTGAATTTCCCTAAAAAATAGGGGTGATATCACCACGATGATAAAATAGTTATATACACTTATTCATTTATCCATTCATTTTTTATCTTTTTATTATCTTTGCATTGCTGTAACTTACTGTCAGTAATTGTAGTCGTATTTTTAGAGTTTCTCTAAACATGATCATCAATAATGTAATATACATACATATACCAATTGCTGACTTAACCGTCAATAAATAAATTTAATCAATTTAAATTATATAGCGATAGCGATAATCGATGTTGGATTGATGGAGCGGATCGACCCAAATTTAGGGTCGGAATAGGCTCGGAGCTTAGTTGGCATTATGCAATAGTACCAGTAAACTATACTATCATCTGTAGTACGTGAGCTACCATTTTTATTAGGGTGATTTTGGGAAAACTTTATCAATACTGTCCTATTCCACTAATATATCCGTCAAGGATATCTGCCACGTAATTGCACACCTTGCGTAAGCATGAGAAATTCATTTTTTTATGCATTTAGGCCAAGTGTTATCAAATGAAATATGACACTAAAATGGCGTCAATTATATAAACAACTTCTTTTTTTTGTTTATTATAAAAATTGTAACAAGTTTCATTATAAAATGACCAAATGAAGTTGTACATTTTCACGTGATGATAAATGCCAATAAATATATATATATATATATGGATACAAATACGTATCGGTATATCTTTTTTGTTATGGTGTATTGGAATTTTTTTTAGTAAATCTTTAACTGTTAATGCAGTAATGCAGTAATGTTAACGCTAAAGCCACGTGATTGACTCTTTAATCTATTTAACATTAGCTTTTAACCTACGTATACTTGGTACTACAAGATAATATCGAAATTTGTTCTTTATTCTTTGCTTCGTCTGGCCGACTGATAATTTGATTGGTAAATTAAGATAAGATAGCATCTGTATCACGGTTTGATCTATTTGCCACGTTACGCACATTACGTACGTATCGAAAAATATCGATTTGATTTGGCAAAAAATATTTATCGATATGTCATTTATATCGATTTACCAAGATTGCCCAATCAGAATGCACGATTTGGTGTCACACAATAAAACGTGATCAGTACCGGCAAACATGATTTTCGGTTTGTTGATTGTCTACGTTTCCGAAACTTACCGACAATTCAGGTTGGCCAAATTTATGTTGCCCGGCCCAAATTATACACTTAATTTTGCCCGAAGTGATATTGTTACGCTGCATTAAAAATATTAAAAAAATATCGATTTGGCCTAAAAATATCGATTTACATAAATCGATATTTCTGGTATGTTACGTACGTACGTACGTGAATATGTACGTCAGACTCCGGATGCCCGTCAAACTTTATCCGGACATTACATGACGTACGACCCAATTACGTACACTATCTATAAAAAGATAAAAGCATGTAACTATTGAGAGGAGTAAATTCTCGCTCGTAGCGCAAGCTCCGAATAATATACTATAGAAACATTTGATAACGATGGCCGAGATTAATGAAGATTTGATATCAAAATTTTGTACTATTACAAACGCGACTGCAAAAATTGCAACCGACTATTTAGCGGTACTTCACATTTTAACTTTTCTTTGTTAACATTCGCATCCGTTTAATACTTTCTAGTTTTGTCTTTACTTTAAACAAAAAATTATACTGTATTTATTAAAAAAAGTTCAACTTTGTTCTAATTAATAGGTGTCAGATGGAAATGTTGAACAAGCAATTACTTTATATCTAGAAAGCGGTGGTGTTGATCTTTCTTCTCTCGGAGTAGGAAACAATCGACAAGAAACTTCAACGGCTATTAACGCCGTCGACTTAACAGGCAATGATTCATATTTTGATAGTGATGCAGAGTTAGCAAAACAGCTTGCTCGAGAAGATTATTCCGAAATCCGAGCTCCTATCGCGCCCAAACGCGACATCCTTGTTAGAGGCGACCACGAGGACTTTAACAACATTTTTGAAGGTATATTTAACATGTGATCGTGTCATTTTATTAACCCGATCCGCATACCTTGGATCGGCATACTTTGAATTATTTTGATTTTATAAATGTCTTTTTAAATATTCCATTTATTAGACCGAATGATACCTGGTATACCACGTACTCGTCGTACACGTGACGCTCATAGAACATTTGCCGACAGTATTGTCCCTGGCGACCCTAGTACAAGTTAGTATTATCTATTTTATTACTTAGATGTTTTGATATTCATTTGTTATCAAATTCTTAGGTACTCATGAAGACGGAAGTGATCAGTTGGCTAATTTATTCAAACCTCCTTTCGAAATTATGCACAAAGATAGTTTTGAAAGGGTAGATATCAATTGTTTTTGAATATAATATAAAATGTTACTTAATTATTTACTTAATTTATGTATACTTTGATGATTAATCAAATTACCTCAATCTTTATAGACACGTACAAAGGCTCGCGATGAAGGCAAATGGTTGATGGTCGATATTCAGGAAATAACTGAATTTTCTTGTCAAATGCTCAACCGCGACTTATGGAGGGATCCAACTGTTCAAGATGTAGTCAGAGCACATTTTTTATTTTTGCAAGTAAGTTATTATAAATATGACATTGAAATTTTTTTTTTTAAAGTATAATATTTATTATTATTGATTATTATTATTGATTATAATTCGGAATTTTCATGTATATATATTATTTAGTTTAATTCAGATACTGCAGATGGGCGTCAATATATAAATTTTTATCCTATCGAAAGTTACCCACACATAGCAATAATTGATCCAAGAACAGGTTTGTTTAGTATAAATTCTGAATTTTCTATAATTATATCGCCAATATTTAAATTTACAAATCTTTATAGGCGAAAGGTTGAGAGTATGGAATACCGCGATGGAACCGACTGAGTTTATAATTAGTGGTTTGTTCTTTTCTCTCTCTCTCTCTCTCTCTAGAGATTTATTATCCTGACGCGTCACTTTATGTTAAATTTCTTATTATTTGATAGTTACTGATTTTCTGGAGCGTTATTCTTTGACTGATTCAAAAAATCCAATGCCACTTAAATTCAAATCCGCTAAAGTAATAATGAACCTGCTTCTTAATTTTAACAATAAATTCAATTCTTTTTAATATACATTTGTATCAACAAAATATTCCAGTCGGTCACAGAGATGTCTGAAGAAGAACAATTAAAGAGGGCTTTGGAAGAATCCACTTCTTATAATAACAAAGTTGATCAAGAATCTGATGAAAGTGAAACAATGGAAGTAGAACCTGTGACTTCTGAAGAAACAAATATTGGTATCTATAAATTTTATTTTTAATTAACATTCAATTCTGTTTACTTTAATAATCTTTACTAATCATTTATTTTAGCAACTGAGAGTCCAGTTAGTTCGATGTTTGATACAATTCATCCTGTAGAACGAACTGAAGTTGGTGGTGGTCCAAGTACGACAGCGATAAAATTCCGTCTTCCAGGTTCGACAAATTGTTTCTTAAACGTTTAAACGTGTTTTATATAATTAATGATTATTAAATTGATATTTTAATTATTTTAAGATGGTCAAAATATTAAGCGACGTTTTGATAAATCCGACCCTGTACGATACTTATTTGAATTCATCAAGGCTTCGGTTCCCGAAGCTCAAGAAAAGCAATTTGAAGTATGCGCATGTTAATTTATGAAACCCATCTAATTATAGTATTTGAATATATAATAATCTATAATCTTTCTTATTATTTTTTTTAGTTGATTTACAATAGAAATAGTCTGATTAATCAAGTTGAACGAACTGTAGATGAAGCAGAATTATCTAATGCTGTTGTCAATGTAGTATTGGGATAGTGTAATAACCAACATTGGAAGACTATTGAATCAGCATATTAAATGAATGCAATGGTTGAAAATAACACCTTTCTAGCTATTTATATTATATCATTCTATGTTCCCTTTCTTTATACTACTACTCTACCATGCGTAAATACTCTAATGTATTGTCCTTTGTTATTAAAAAATTACTAGATTGGTTAGATTAAGCCTATTTTCTTGCAATGATAAATTGGGATGTTTTAATATAAACAATTTTATTTAAAATATAATAAATTGATAAAGTATAATAAACAAACAATTACTTGTTATTTAATCGTTACTTATAGAATTGATATGTTAAATGAATTGATTTATGGCTAACTACGGAATTGTTACACATTGAAATATTTAATTAAAATTGCTGAATTTAATACTTCGTAATTATTGGAGTTATGCAAATCAAAACTACAGTCTAACCTTTATATGATTACATTTTTAGATTACATAAGTTTGTGATTATATAAAAATGTAATAGTTATAGAATATTTCTATATAATTACATTTATATTATTAAAATAGTTGATTATACAAAAGTTTTAATAAATAAAAATTTTTTAAATTGTTCTTTTAAATAATTGAACATTATAATTACATATAAGTATCCAAATTATATTAAATAAATCAATAATAATGGTTCAAGTAAAGTTGTTCAGAAAACAAATTACATATATTTTAAACTTTTTAAATAATTTTAATAAAAGTTTATTAATAAATTTTTACAATTTATATTTAAATAAAAAATGAAAATTTATTTAACTTAAATATAAATTATAAAAATATATTAATAAAATTCAAGTTATTTTAAAATTATATAATTTTATTTTTTAACCAATTTTATTTAAAGTATTGTTATTGATTTGCTTAATATAATTTTAATTTTATATATATATATATATAATTATAATAAAAAATATTGTGAATTAATAAATAAAATAAATAATTTTTAAATTATATTTACAAAAATAAATTAGAATAGTTAGGCAAAGCTAAAAAAATTTTTCAACAATTAAATTAAGCTTATATTAAGAGTAGGAGGCAGTATTTTAAAATTATATATAAACCTAATGGTAAATTTTTTTTATATTTAATTTTATAAAAAACTATATTAAGTAATCTAATTTTAATTATTATATAAAAATTGTAGAATAGGTCTTTCTGATTCTAATAATAGTAAAATTATTAAAATAGGTTAAAAACTTATTGAGATATTAATTTTTAAAGATTGGGATATAAAATTATAAAATAAAATTAACTAATAGGTTTACATAAATTAACCAATCAAATTCTTTCTTTTTGTACTATCTAAGAAAATTTTAACTCATCTAAGTAAACTTTGTTATATATACAAGTATAATTTTTTTAAAATAATATATCAAAATTTTACTATAATAGATAAATAATTTTATTTATAACATTATAAATTTTTTTTATTAATTAATTAAAAAATAAAAAAGTTTTATTAGTAGCATATATCTATTTTAGATAAAAATGTTAATATACTATATATAACTATATAAACATGATTTACATGCCTTCTATCCTTAATTACAGTTTAAAAATTTAAGATCTTAAATATATATTATTTTTGGTCTTATATAAAGTATAAGTTTTGTATACCAACTTCATACAAACTAACAGTCAAATTTGTACATATTGACAGTTAAATTTGTATATAATACTTTTAATTAAATTACAATATCTTATGACCTAGTAACTTAAATTATTTAAATTTGGTACTATTTGATTTATCAAAATTAGATGAATCAAATAATACTAAATTTATATAATTTAAGTTACTAGATTATAAGATATTGTAATTTAATTAAAAGTGTTATATACAAATTTGACTATGATTTGTATAAATTTAACTATTAGTTTGTATGAATTTGACTGTTTGTTTGTATGAATTTGATTATCTGTTTGTATAAATTTGACTGTCTGTTTGTATGAAGTTGATATGCAAAACCTATAAATTGTTATTAATAAAAATAAAATACTAAAAAGTAAATATATTTTAAATAGTTGTATTTAGACAGATTTTTTTAATATTTAGTATTTAAACTAAAAAAAATAGTTTAAAATAGTAAAAAAATTTTAATTAAAAGTATTAGAATTTTGCAATTTGATTTAATTTAATTAAATATTTAAACTTAAATTAAATTTAGTACTGAAATTTTATATTAAATCAAATTTAAATAAAAAAGTTAGTAAAAAAAAACAAATTATTTTAAAATTTTTGATTTTAAGTTTAATATTTTAACAACTATTTTATTAAATTTAATAATTTTTTTATATAACTTTAAGATTAAAATAAAAAAATTTTTAGTAAATTTGATTAAATAGTTATTAAGCTATTTTAATTTAAAAATTTTAAAAAATTTACTAAAAATAATTTGTTTATTAAATATTTAATTTAATCTAAAAACTTATAATAACCTCTAAGGTTGATAGTATAGTGATTATGCTTCAAGATTACAAATCACAAAGTTACTAGTTTGAATTCTAGTGACAGCAATTGTAGAGATGTATTACTAAAATAAGGAACTGCAATATTACAGAACTAGAGATCCAGGATGTCCAAAAAATAAACTTATTTCTAAAAATAGCAAGTAGTTTGCAGTTAAGAAGCTATATAAAAATGAACACAGGTTGAAGCCTAATTTGAAATAACTGAAGTTATAAAACATAATGTAAGGCCAAAAGTCTAGCAATAAGAAATACTATATGAACTTATGATGATAGCTGGTTCTTGATAGAGACTAGTAAAGCCTTATGATACTAGCAGAGATTAGTATGACAGTTGTTTCTGAAAAGTTTAAAAGTATAGACCAAAGAAGATTAAGGTCTAGTATTCAAAAATATATTAAAAACATTAGTTTGAAAAATATAATAAATATGCTGAAAGATTTTAGCAAAACTAGTCAAAAAAAAAAAACTTATAATTAAACATTTAAAAATATAACAACTTAGTAAAATAAATAAGTTGTTACTTCTCAAGTAGCAGATTAGAAGTTCAAAACTTATTAATAGTAAAAATTTAAATAATTATTTATATTTTAATAATTATTTTTTATTGATTATTTAAAATAAGATACATGTAATTAGTATTGTTATGTTTATTATATTTAAGACTTTTTAAACTATATCTAATGTTTAAACATTTATATGTTTTAAAAATTTTTATAGCATATACAAGCTTTCAAAATTAATATATTAATTTAAAAAATTTATAATATTAAATATTTTTATATAAAAAGTTAAAATAAATTAACTTAATAAAATTTTAAATAATTATAATTTATTTATTTGTTTAAAAAATATTTACAAATGTTCAAACTATGTTCACAACTGTTTTGTGTTAATACTGCTTGTAACTATATATAATTATATTAGCATAACTGACAAGTTATAAAACATTTGTATAACTTTGATTATACAGAGAAATGCAAACTAATATTAAACAATACAAACTCAAAATAGTTCTTATAGTTATATAAATTTGTAAAACTAAGAAAACAAAAACTTATTTGAAAAAACTTGAATAAAAAAATAATATAAAATTTTAAAAATACAATTGTAAAGATTAAATTTAAAAAATAAATACCAATATAAAAAAACTAAATAAAAAGAATTTTTAAATAAGAAGTATTATCAATTAAGCTATTAGATTTAGACTAAAAAAAACTATTAAATTAAACTTAATATATTAAGAACAGATTACAGTTTTTTAGACTATTTGGATTAGAAGTTTAAAAACAAATCAAAATTATTCTAAAGTACTAAAAATATATTATAAAGTTGGTATTAAAATTTAGATAAATTTTATAAGATATAACTCTGTTAATAGAACTGTAAAATAAATAAATTAGTTAATAAAAAGGTTTTTTAAATTTATTATTAGATAACATACTTTAAAATAAATAATAGTCTAAATATAAGTTCAAAAATAAAATATATGCTGCTTAGATAATATATGAAAATATATATAAAAAAATTAATAAAAGGTTAAAATTTAGTAAAAGTAATTAAAAAGTTTAAATAAATATATAATTTTTTTAAAAAAACTCTTTCTGTAGATCATTAAAAAACAAAAAGTAAACAAAAAATTAGTACTAAAACTTTGAATGTATTAACTAAAATATAACAAAAGATAATTAAAAAAAGAGAAAATAAACTCCCAGAATATCTAAGACTTATTCAACATAGCCAAAAGACAAAAAATCCTAACTACTAAACTACAAGATTTTAAAACTTTTCTTAATACTAACTTAGTACTGTTATTTTCTCAAATAGATCTCTATGGGGTCTCTGTCCAGCTAAACATCCAAATTATATTAGTTACATTTTAAGCTTTCCAAAATGAAAGATTTAAAGAAAACACAAAACTAGAAACAAACTTCTTTTTTTTAAAAAAAAATAAAACTAATAATACTAATTCTTTTGTTTCTTTTATATCCTATTCTCATCAAAAAAATTTAACAAAAAGTAGGCAATTTAGTTTACCTTCTACAAAACCTTAGATAACATTATATACTACAACTACCAAAACAAACATGCCTAAACTAGCAAATATTTCCATGTCTCAAAACTTTATTATTACATTACTCGATCTATTATACTTGACACCTGTACCTAATAGTTTTATTCCAGAAAACAATTCATAGAACCCTGAACCAATTACACTCACAGAAGCTCTACCAACTCAAACAATCTTTATACTAACTACACATATTGACAACATGAACACTATCTTTAATACTTCTAATAATCATTAACCTGTTACTAATAAATTTTACAACAAAGCAGTAACATCAAACTTACCAAAACCAAAAAACAACTCAACTTTTTTTGATTGGTGTAATTCTGTAACTAAAGCTCTTGTAGCAAGACAAATACTTAACTTTAATCTTCAAAATTGAGACAATGATAAAATAATTAAAGCTTTTAATAACAAACAATAACTTCTGAAATTTTTTACTCACAAAATCTAAACTATTTTTTCAAATCACAATATCTTATATGCTATTAACCAAAAATTTAATTACTTAGATACAGCATTTTTCTGCTCTTTCACAAGAACAAAAGCTACAGCTCCTCAATACTAAAAAGAATTCAACTCTTTATACCAAATTACTCTCAAAAAATATAAAAAATTATATAATGTTATTTTGATTAACAAATTTAATAGAGATCAAATTTACAAAAAACAAGCAAAAACTCTTTTTAACAATCATTTGAACCAAACTTTCCAAAAAGCCAAACTACAGAAAATAATATAATTAATATATTAAACTTTATAAAAACCTTTCTGGAGTACTGTACACACATTGTTGAACATTGAAATAAAGTTGAAAAAGAGTTGCAGCCTTGTAGTGACAGTTTAAAGAGCACTCTAGAACTATAAAAGAAGTAGTCAGTAAAAGCCAAAGTTCTTTATTAAGTAAACAACAAAGTTGGATATATTAGTTCTATACATCTGTAAAACTTACAAGGAACACCCACAAGGGTTAAGAACTCACAAAAGCTAAAAAGTTAGTTCACCTAGCACTCTTACTTTTTTTTCAAGAAAAATTTTGTAAAAGTAGATGATTCAGTTTACTCCCTCCTAAAAATCAATACATAAAATCACCAAAACAGTTAGTAGTGTTTACTTTCTAAACAGGATTGTTTACAATATAGATCAGAAATAATACAGCAATATAAACATGACTATACACATGCCTCAAGCCACTAGAAACCTGTTAAACACTGCCTTTGAACTAACCAGTACCTTATACCAACCCTCTATGATAAAGTCGAAGTTTTTTTTTCTTCTTTAATTTTTTGTTTAAATAATCTAAGTAAATAGAAAGATAGTAGAGTAATTTCTATTTAGTATAGTTTATAATTTTTATAAGCCCAATACAGGCTTATAATTGTGGTTGTTTAATATCTGTAAATTGCAAGTTTTACATCTGATACAGACTTAAAATCATGACCATTTGATTTTTTTGTGAATTGCAAGTTTCACACTTTCCTTTTTTTTCATTTTTTCCTTCCATCTTTTATTTTTTGTTTTGTATTTTTTATCATTTACCTCTATATCTCTGTTTTTTTTTATATATAAAATTTTTTTTTTGTTTTTTTGCTTTCCTACAAGAAGATGTCATCAGATTGGTGATATCCTATTGTAAGGTGGCAGTCAGATGAGCAGCCTACCTCTGCTTGAGGTAGTGCAGCAAGTCACACTTAGGTACCAATAGGGTGGCCAGGTGATGCTAAACTTAGTTATTAGAAAACTTCACTGTAATTTGTATAGTTTCAAAAATTCTAATAAAGTACTAGCATGACTGCTTAAGTTAAAAAAAAAAAAAAAAATTCACAAAAAACTCAAAATTAAACTCACTTTAAATTATATTAGAAAGAAGTAATGACCTAGTGAAGTGGTCAGGTTGTCAATCTTCCAAGTAGTAGATTGTGAGTTCAAAACCTACAGATGGCAAAATTTGGATAATCACTTATGTAATATTCATATTATAGCAACAGCATTCTGTTGATTAGTTGAAATAAGATATCTGTAACTATGATCACACTATCATAACTGGCAGGTCAGAGCATCTGTGTAACCTTGGTTACACAGAGGAATGCAAACTGGTATCAGGTGATGCAAACTTAAGATAAGTCTTTTGGTTATGTAAATCTGTAGAACTGAAGAAACTGAAGCCCACTTGAGAAGATTTGAATAAAGAGGTAATACAGATCTTTGACAGTATTATTATAAAAGCTAGACCTAGGAAATAGATACCAATATGAAAGAATCTGGCAGACAAGAAGCTCTAGGTAAGAGGTACTACCAATCAGGCTGTCAGAAATCTGATCAGATGAAAAAGAATATCAGGCCAGACTCAATATACCAGGACAGGTCATAGTTCTACTAGGCTATCTGGATTGAAAGTCTTAGATCAAAGCAGGAGTATACTATAAGTACTAGGAATATGCTGTAAAGTTGGTACTAGAGTTTGGATAAACTTTGCAAAAGCATATCCTATTAATGTTCTATAATAAAAGTAAGTAGATTAGTTAACA